TATGGAGAAAAAGATTTCAGGTTGTGTCCAGTCATAGACACAATCACGTATTCCCACTGGAAAAGTGAATACCTGAGGGGTCAAGAGAACTGAGCAAGATCGTAAATCTAGTCTGAAGTCCCCTCGGTCCCTGTCCGCCTCTCACCTTATTTTGTTGTTGTTCTCTTTTGTTTTAGGCCTTGAGCAGCCTGAAGCCATGTTTTTTAATTTGTCTCTAGTGATTAAAAAAAAAAAGAAGGATGAGGAAGGGGCTTTACTGGCAGAACCACAAACGAGTATTCTCTCCACGTGACTGCCTTTTTTTATTTTATTTTTTAGACAGTCTTGCTCTGTCACCAGGCTGGAGTGCAGTGGTGCAATCTTGTCTCACCGCAACCTCCGCCTCCCGGGTTCAAGCAATTCTCCTGCCTCAGCCTCCTGAGTAGCTGGGATTACAGGCACCTGCCACCACACCTGGCTAGTTTTTTGTATTTTTAGTAGAGACAGGGTATTACCATGTTGGCCAGGCTGGTCTCGACCTCCTGACCTCAGGTGATCTGCCCACCTCGGCCTCCCAAAGTGCTGAGATTACCGGCATGAGACACCGTGCCTGCCTCTATCCATTGTTTATCTTCTAGGCATCTAGAAAGACTTACAGGGACAAGCCAGACAGGTACTGAAAATGTACAAAGTAGCTGCCAGCTCTAGATAAAATGTATTGTAGCAGCCGTGGGAAACGGATCTCTCAAACACGGAATAAAGGAGGGAGGAGTTTATTTGGCTGGGAGACCAGGCAGTAATTTGTCGAAAACCCAGCTCCTCTAACAAAGGAAGGTTCTGCCTTTATATAGGCTTATACTTTAGATGTTACACGTGGAAGAATCTTAGGTTCATAGTTTTAGGACTCACATGTGAAAAGGTTTTGGTTTACAGTTTCAGGAGTCACATATGAAAGGGTTCCGGTTTACAGTTTTAGGACTCACATGTGAAAAGGTTTCTGGTTTGATCTTGTTTTAAGTAAAAATAGTGCCTCCTGGAGAGTTTCCTCAAGACCTAGCCTGTCACCTATAGGAAGGCAAAACCGGAGGCGCCTGTCGGTCAACCTTTTCTTCTATTGACATGCAGCATGATAGTCAAAGGGGAAGTTGATCTGAGAAGCCTAGGTCTCCCTCTTCAATATGTTCAGACTCACTGCTGCCCCTGAACTGGTCATATGGAGAAAGAGATTTCAGGTTGCCCCCAGTCATAGCCTAAAACAAATAACTGACCATCTACTAAAATGCTTTTGGTTAATTGGTCATAGTAGTGAGACTCCAGTGTTACCTGACCTTCTGATGTGATGAGAACCCAGATCTGGAGTGTCTGCCTCTTTAACATTTAATTGTTGGCAACTATTTCAAATTTTAAAATTGGCTTAAAATTTAAAACCATCTCATGGGTCAGGTCCAGGTTTGGTCCCAGATTTAAACCTCTGGCACAAAATGAGAAGATACGGAGTTTGAAGCAGAATCAGCTGAGCAATAGGGAAACTTGGCTAGCATATCCCACTCACCCACCTTATTCGAAAGCTGAAAGCTACTTTTTCATTTTTCACATCTTCTTGCATATAAATTTACCAGAAAAAAATCTAATACGTAGTGTACGGTATTCAAAGAACACACACAAAAAAAACTAAAGTCCCCTGGAATCCCATGTCCTTGAGCTACAGCCGACATTAGTAGCTATTGCCTGCAGGAGATTTCCAGTCAGACAGATACAAATGCGTAAAAATAAAGTTGGGCCAGGTGCAGTGATGCATGCTTGTACTTTGGGAGGCCGAGGCAGGCGGATTGCTTGAGGCTGGGAGTTCAAGACCAGCCTAGCCAACTTGGCAAGACCTCGACTCTACAAAAAAATTTGCAAAAATTAGCCAAGCATGGTGGCGCATGCCTGTAATCCCAGCTACTTGGGAGGCCGAAGTGGGAGAATTGCTTTAACTCTGGAGGCTGAGGCTGCAGTGAGACGTGATCATGCCACTGCACTCCAGCCTGGATGACAAAGCAATACCTGTATCCAAAAAAAAAGTCACACTCTATACTATACTCAGGCCCATTTTGATTTACCAAATTTCCACATAAGCATTTTCAGATAAGCTTAAGAGCACCTTAAGCCGTCCCCATTCTGCCGCTCCTTCTGAAGGAGTAATAACTGATCAGTTTTCATAGACACCCTTCCAAGGTTTTCACCAATGACTTACATCAACATATCTAGATAGAGCAATTTGAATGGAAGAAGCAATCTCTAATGGATAAAGAAGTGATACTGTAAGGGAGGCATAATCTATAAAAAAAAAAAAAAGTTTCCAATGAGGGTTTTTAGCATGAAGTGTTGTTGAATTTTGTCAAAGGCCTTCTCTGCATCAACTGAGATAATCATGTGGTTTTTGTCTTTGGTTCTGTTTACGTGGTGAATTACATTTATAGACTTGCGTATATTGAACCAGTCTTGCATCCCCGGGATGAAGCCTACTTGATCATGGTGGATAAGCTTTTTGATGTGCTGTTGCAATCGGCTTGTCAGTATTTTATTGAAGATTTTTGCATCTATGTTCGTCATGGATATTGGCCTGAAGTTTTCTTTTCTTGTTGAGTCTTTGCCGGGTTTTGGTATCAGGATGATGTTAGTCTCATAAAATGATTTGGGAAGGATTCCCTCTTTTTGGATTATTTGGAATAGTTTCAGAAGGAATGGTACCAGCTCCTCTTTGTATGTCTGGTAGAATTTGGCTGTGAACCCACCTGGACCTGGGCTTTTTTTGGTGGTAGGCTCTTAATGGCTGCCTCAACTTCAGACCTTGTTATTGGTCTATTCAGGGTTTCGACTTCTTCCTGGTTTAGGCTTGGGAGGAGGCAAGTGTCCAGGAATTCATCCATTTCTTCCAGGTTTATTAGTTTATGTGCATAGAGTTGTTTGTAATAATCTCTGATGATGGTTTGTATTTCTGTGGAATCTGTGGTGATATCCCCTTTATTGTTTTTTATTGCATCAATTTGGTTATTCTCTCTTTTCTTTTTTATTAATCTGGCTAGTGGTATGTCTATTTAGTTGATCTTTTCGAAAAACCAGCTCCTGGATTTATTGATTTTTTTTTTAAGGGTTTTTTTTTTTTTTGTCTCTACCTCCTTCAGTTCTGCTCTGATCTTAGTTATTTCTTGTCTTCTGCTAGCTTTTGAGTTTTTTTGACCTTGCTACTCTAGCTCTTTCAATTTTGACGATAGGGTATCAATTTTAGATCTCTCCTTGCTTCTCATGTGGGGAGAAATGCAAGCTATAGGCAAAGGGGAGGAAGGCAGCAAATCACACTGCCACGTGTGTACCTATGCAACAATCTTGCATGTTCTTCACATGTACCCCAAAACCTAAAATGCAATTTTAAAAAAAAAGGTTCCAATGGTAAGTCCTGTTAGAGAACCTGGTGTGTGGTTTTTCCTTCAGTGAGTCAGGGAGCCACATCCACCTCACTCAGCTAGCAGACGCGCTTCGCAGATGAAGAGTCCACTGTTTACCTCTGCGATTTGCTCAGGTCGATACGTTCCATTTCCCTGAGGGTGAGGCCATAAGCCCAATGGAGAGTGGATGCTGACAGGCCAATGCTTCGAATAACACTTTCTATTAACTGCTTCCTGGACAGGATCAGTGGTGGGAAAAGGAAACAAAACCCAAGAACGCTCTCTGCTTGACGCTGCTTAGATACTCCCTTGGTTAAGAGCGCAGACAGTGAGTTACCCACGCTGGCGTCTGAACCCCAGTTGTGTTTAATTGATACAGACCCTCGGCAGAGCTGCTTTCGATATGCCTTTTAATGTCAAGCGATACAGGCTCAGTGCTTTAATAACTCAAGAAACAAGGGCTCATTAAACTGGTCATTCCCACAAGTAGCGGATATGTACAATGAACAAGTCCGGAGACCTAAAGGGATTTCTGTTATATAAGGGTCCTTCAGCTCTTCTGGTCACACACAGAAGTAACTGTGCGGTAATGCTAATTTGCTTCTCTCACTGGAGTAACTCTTTCACGATCTATACGTATCCCATAATGCCGTGTTATAAACCTCAAATATCTATGACACATCTTGTTTTTAAAAGATCATTTCAAACCATACCTTCAAAATGTAACTAGAATTAATATTTAACTCCTAAACATCAACTAGATTATTAGTAGCAGTAGGTTGACAATGTGACTCCTAAATTATTTTTATTTGAATGTTCAAATTTAAAAGTCAACTGAAAGGAAAGAAATTAAACTATAGATCTTTAATTTTTGTGGGTACACATCAGGTATGTATATTTATGGAGTACATGAGATGTTCAAGCATGCAATGTATAATAATCATATCATGTGAAATGGGGGATTTGCCCTTTCAAGCATTTATTCTTTGTGTTACAATCCAATTATAGCTTTATTTTACGGTGTATAATTACTGACTCTATGTCGCTCCGTGCTATCAAATACTAGGTGTTTTTCTTTTTTCGTACTCATTAACCAACCCCACCTGCACCCCACCCCATCCCCCATTACCCTTCCAGACTCTGGTAACCAGTCTTCTATCTCCATGAGTTCAGTTGTTTTCGTGGTGTTTTAAGTTTCCACAAATAAGTGAAAACACGTGATGTTTGTCTTTCTGTGTGTGGCTTGTTTCACTTAAGGACCACCAATTCCAACTATGTTGTTGTAAATGACAGGATCTCATACTTCTTATGGCTGAATAGTACTCCATTGTCTAAATGTACCACACTTTCTTTATATGTTGATGGACACTACCATTGCTTCCAAATATTGGCTTTTGTGAACACAGCTGCCACACACAGGGTACTGCAGACATCTGTTTGATAGACTTCTTTCCTTTCTTTTGGGTATATACTCAGCAGTGGGATTGCTGGGTCATGTGGTAGCTGTATTCTTAGGTTTCTGAGGAACCTCCAAACTGATCTCCACAGTGGTTTTACTAACTTACATTCCCATCAAGAGTATATGAGTGTTCCATACTTACCTGGCAGGGGAGATACCATGAACACAAAGGTGGTTTTCCCAGAGTGAGACTTATCCAGTGCACTCCAGATGTGCTGGCCCCTGCAATTTCCCCAGATGTGGCAAACTCCACTGCATAATTTGTGGTAGTGGGGACTGCATTCACACTTTCCCCTGGATAAAGAAAAAAAAATTTTTTTAAGTGTATGAGGGTTCCCTTTTCTCTGCATCCTCTCCAGCATTTGTTATTGTGTGTCTTTTGGATATAAGTTATTTTAACCAGGGTGAAATGATACCTCACTGTAGCTCTGATGTGCACGTCTCTGACGAAAAATGTTGAGCACCTTTTCGTATGCCTGTCTGCCACTTGTATATCTTCTTTTGAAAGATGTTTAAGTCTTTTGCACATTTTTGATCAAATTATTAGACTTTTTCCTACACAGCTGTTTGAGCTCCTCCTATGTTCTGGCTATTGACTCCTTTCAGATGGGTAGTCTGCAGATATTTTTTTCCCCATCTCTGGGTTGTCTCTTCACTTTGCTGAGTGTATCTTTTGCTGTGCAGAAGCTTCTTGATGTGATCCCATTTGTCCATTTTTGCTTTGATTGCCTGTGCTGTGGGGTATTGCTCAAGAAATTTTTGCCCACAACAATGTCCCAGAGAGTTCCCCCAATGTTTTCTTGTAATAGTTTCATAGTTTGAGGTCTTACATTTAAGTCTGTGATCCATTTGGTCTGGCTTTTTTATATAACAAGAGATAGGGATCTAATTTCATTCTTCACATGAATATCTAGCTTGGCATCCTTGTCAAATTAGTTCACTATTAATGTGTGGGTTTTTTTTTCCTGTGTTCTCTATTGTGTTCCATTCATCTATGTGTCTGTTTTTATGCCAGTACTATGCCATTTTGTTTATTTTAGCTTTATAGTATAATTTGAAGTCAGGTAATGTGATTCCTCCAGTTTTGTTCTTTTTGCTTAGGACAGCTTTGGTTATTCTGGATCTTTTATGGTGCCATATAAATTTTAGAATTATTCTTCCCATTTCTGTGTAGAATGTCATTAGTATTTTGATAGGGACTGAATTGAATCTGTAAATTGTTTTGGGTAGTCTAAACATTAACACTTGGTTATTTTAATCCATCAACATGGAATATCTTTCCACTTCTTGGTGTTCTCTACAATCTCTTTCATCGGAGTTTTATAAGCTTTCCATAGAGATCTTTCAGTTTTTTGGTTGAGTTAATTTTTAGGTATTTAATTTTATTTGTAGCTATCGTAAATGGGATTACTTTAATTTTTTTCTTACAGATTGTTCACTTTTGGTATATAGAAATGCTGAAGGAGAGAGAGAGAGAGAGAGAGAGAGAGAGTGTGTGTGTGTGTGTGCAAGCACATGTACGCACATGCATTTGTGTGTATTCTATGTATCCTGAAACTTTACTGAATGTTTATCAGTTCCATAGGATGTGATATGTGTGTGTGTGTGTGTGTGTGTGTGTGTGTGTGTGTGTGTGTGTGTGTATGGTGTGTTTAGATTTTTCCCAAATATAAGCTCATATCACATGTAATCAAGGATAATTCAGTTTCTTCTATTTCAATTTGGATGCCCTTTATTTCTTTCTCTTGTCTGATTTTTCTAGCTAGTACTTCTAGTACTACATTGAATAGTGGTGACAATGGATATCCTTGTCATGTTTTCAATCTTAGAGGAAGGGCTTTCAGCTTTTTCCCATTCGGTATGATACTAGCTGTGGGTCTGTCAATCGGCTTTTATTATGAAGTATGTTTCTTCTATACCCAGTTTTTTTTTCTGTACTTTAGGTTCTGGGGTACATGTGCAGATCATGCAGGATTGTTGCATAGGTACATACATAGCAAGGTGGTTTGTTGCCTTCATCCCCCCCCATCATCTATATCTGGTATTTCTCCCCAAGTTATCCCTCCCCATCCCCCGACTCCCCAGTGTCTCTCCCCTAGACCCCCACCCAACTGACCCCAGTGTGTGATGCTCCCTTCCCTGTGTCCATGTGTTCTCATTGTTCAACATCTGCCTATGAGTGAGAACATGCAGTGTTTGGATTTCTGTTCTTGTGTCAGTTTGCTGAGAATTATGGTTTCCAGATTCATCGATGTCCCTATGAAGGACATGAACTCACCATTTTTTGTGGCTGCATAGTATTCCATGGTATATATGTGCCACATTTTCCTTGTCCAATCTATCATCAGTGGGCATTTGGGTTGGTTCCAGGTCTTTGCTATCATGAGCCACTGCATCTGGCCATTCTCTACCATTTTAATATGTTTTCAACATGACTTTGACTTTCAGTGGATTTTCACAGTTAGGAACCTTAACAAGTGAAACATTTAGCAAGGTTGTTGCCTGAAATAACAGTAGAAAATCCACATTATGAACTTGAAAATCAGGAGATTTTGCGGGAGAGTAAAGATGTATCCTGGTGGTGGTGGCGGTGGTTTTGCTCACCATAAAATGTGACAAGGAAGAAATGCACTAAGGAATAAACGTAAGGTTTTAAACTAAGTTTATAGAAAATACAAAGGTCCTTGACAGACTTTATTGACCACAAAGTGTTCTCAAGAAAGAGCTTCAGGGTCATAGGATAGTTCTATTTTAAATTGTTTGAGGAACCTCTGCATCATTTTCCATAATGACTCCTCTAATTGACAGCCCCACTAACCATACACAAGGCTTCCCTTTTCTCCACTTCTTCACCCACGCTTACCTTTTCTTGTCTTGATAATTTCCACTCTAACAGGTGTGAAGTGAAGATCTCATTGTGATTTCTATCTGCATTTCTGATTCGTGATGTTGAGCACCTTTTCATCCCCTCTCCTTTTGGACATGTAATTACATGTATTTTACACTCGCCCTTGGATGTAGTATCACAGTTCCCTGATGGCCTGATTGGTTTTGTGATTGTGTTTCCTCTGTGCTTGTTAGGCTTGTTATCCTCTGTGATTGTGTGTCCTCTGTGCTATGTTTCCTCATCCTTTCTTCTGCTGTGTGCCATCTGCCATTTCTCCATTCCAATGAATTCTTGGTTTTGCAGAGTGAGTATTTTAAGTTAGGGAGCATCCATCTGATTGGTGTACTCTATATACATAATATATGGGTATATATACTTAATATATTAAGAAACTTAGAAAATTCTTCCTAATTCCAAAAGCTGGGTTGTATGTACATATGCTTCTGTTTCGTTTTTTAAATTTTGCTTTTGACAAAAGATATGCATAGCTATAGGGGACAGTATGATGTTTTGAAATGCTTCCAATGTGCAATATTGACATGAAGTTAACAAATGCCTTATCTCGTACTTATTATCTTACGTGTGTGTATATATATGTGTGCGTGTGTGTGTGTCTCTATGTGTGTGTATGTGTGTATGTGTGTGTATATGTGTGTGTGCGTGCATGTATGTGTATGTGTGTGTATGTGTGTGTGTCTGTGTATATATGTGTGTCTGTATGTGTGTATGTATGTGTGTGTATATGTGTGTGTCTGTATGTGTATGTATGTGTGTGTGTCTGTGTGTGTGTCTGTATGTGTGTGTATATGTGTATGTCTGTGTGTGTGTATACGTGTGTGCGTGCACATTTGTGTATATGTGTATGTGCACATATGGGTGTGTATATACATATATATATAAAAATCTCCAACTGGAAAGTCTCTGTATGGCAAAGGAGATGAGTGAAGAGACCCATGGATTAGGAGAAAATATATTGGTAAACTATGTATTATATGGAGCTAATATCCAAAATATGTAAGGAACTCAATAACAAGAAAATAGATAACCTAATCAATAAATTGGCAAATAAAACCCCACCCTAAATAGACATCTTCCAAAGATTGTTTTCTTGATTATGAATCATAGTTCATAATCAAGAACCATACTCATAATCATCACATGGTTTTCTGCTTCTTTGAATCTGAATTTTTTACTGTTTGCTGAACATCATATATAAAAACAGTGAGGAGCATGCCCCGCGTCTGCCAGCTTGTTACAGATGTACTAAATTGGGCCTGTGCAGCCATGTGGTCTTGAGGGTGGGATTAGGCCCATCTGTGCGTCAGTCTCATCTCCACTGGGGAGGGACAGTGTGTCACATTCCAGTTAATTCAGGTCCAGCACGCCAGCCCTGCTGCCGCTGTTAATCATTGGCTAGCTTTTATTCATCCCATCAACGTTCTTCCACACCGCTGCTCTCCCTCTTCTGCCGGCCCTTGCCCCAGGGATAAAAACATTTTCAGGTACCTGCTCACAAAAGAAGTCATTCCCCTCTGGGGATTCACTTATTTAGGCTCATTTCTGTATCATACCTCTATGATAGCTTTCTACTTACATCTTACTATTTTTTGTTTTGTTTTTGTTTTTGCAGTGTGTCACCTTATGTATTCTCAAGGAATAAAACCCCCTTTACAATAAATTTTTTAAATATATTTTATTGCACTTTAGGTTCTGGGGTACATGCGCAAATCATGCGGGATTGTTGCATAGGTACATGCATGGCAATGTGGTTTGCTGCCTCCGTCTCCCTTGCACCTATATCTGGCATTTCTCCACATGTTATCCCTCCCCAACTCCCTACACCCCGCTGTCCCTCCCCATTCCCCCTCAACAGACCCCTACAATAAATTTTAACTTTATTCCATATATCATTTCATTTATCTTAAGTAGTTCATTAAATGGTCAAGATTTAAGTAATGATATGCATAAATAAGAAAATAGAAGGAAAGATGAATGTGCACCTGATGACTGATGGGCAAAGATGTAATAGGTTAGCTGCTTCGAGCTGAAGACATGCCCAGAAACAGTCCCTGAACTCAGGTTATCCCCTCAAAGGAAAAGTTGTGTGTGAAACTAAGCATTCTAACTGAAGGCTACATAAAATGCTATGGAACCCAAAAAAAGGAAGAAGTATGTCCCTGATGCCAAGAAAATGAGAGGGATGCCCTTGAAGGATAAAGAGCAATGCTAAAATAGATGTCCATTCCATTGTATGGGTGAATAAGTTTTATTCAACCTTTTTCCTTTAAAGCAACATGGGCTGGGTGCAGTGGCTCATGCCTGGAGCAGCACATTGGGAGGCCAAGGCAGGTGGATCACCTGAGGCCAGGAGTTTGAGATCAGCCTGGCCAACATGGTGAAACCCCGTCT